ATATTGGACTATTGAAAGCAACATTTTTTTCCCCTCTGGGCAGTAGTTAGCATTGTTACTTTACAGCCATAAAGTTAGAAAATTACTGGTTTGAACCACAAGTGGGGCCTCTCTGTTTTTGGATGTTCTCCTGGTGACTGGTTTGGGTTTCCTCTGAGTAATCCAGCTTCCTTCCACACTTCAAACACATGCATGTTAGATTAACTGGTGATTCTAAATTTCCCATGTATAAGAGACAGACAAAGTGCCCACAGTTACAGACTTTGTTGTTAAATGTGGCTTCTACTCTAAAGTACTTAAAGGTGGTCAGTAAAACTTGCCATTTTGATATGAAGTAACGCCAGTGATATAACTGTGTAGGCGTTAGTATTTTAGTCTGCAAAATCAGGACAAAGGAGCTGTGGAATGATGCTTTGTAAACTAAGGAAAGAATCTGTCAGGCACTAATGCAGCTCTGATCCCAGGCTTATAATGATCTCAGCCATTGCATCAACTGTGTGAAAAGCAACATAGCAGCATATCAAGGGTTAACAGGGTCTAATGCCAGTTCTAGGGCGTAGTCTCACACTTCATATCCTTAAACCTGAAAAAAATCTCTACTCTTTTAAATCTTCTAACTCAGTGAGTTTAAATAATATTGAAATACCTAATGTTGATAACTCAGAGTTTGACACAAGCATAGATATTCTTTTTCATTTCTACAGATAGCATGTCGAATCAAACGTCACAAACTGGGTTGCCCATTAATCAGAAGGTCTGTTGTTCAATCCTTGGCTAATCCAGTGTGCATTTTCAAAGTGTCCTTGGGCAATATTCTGAATCCCAAAACAAAGCTTCTATTGGTATGTGAGTGTGATAAGGAAAATGTCATATGTCTACAATAAGAGCTGTATGAACATGTGAGCAAATGGCTAAAGCTTGTAGTGTTAAAGGCCTTTTGAGAACAAAAGTCTAGAAAAGTTGCATCTTTGTGTGGACGCACCCATAGCTTAAATACTTATAAAATATAACACGGTACTATTCAATACCACCACAGCCTCCAGATATTTGCATCATCACCTCACGAGTCTTAACTGCAGCTGCATTATTGAAGAGGCCCACGCAAGATTAAGGCTGTGCTTATATCTGTTTACAACTGTGAGTTACTCATTTCACTAAAGCATATGACTGCTTTGAAGAATGCCGTAGTGATATCATTTACGCAATAATTTGTGCATCTCACCACCTCTGTTTAAGAAATGTATTGTTAATGTGTGTCTGTGAAGGTTCTCAGTCAGTCAGGTCATCATAGTCTAAGGAGCTTGGAAAGAAAAGCGTCTGGACATCTTTAAGTTTAAACTTAAACTTAACTTGGAAACGTTAACTTAAAGAAGCCCAGATGCTTTTTTCCCAAAAGCCCCTTAGACTATCGTTAATGTATTTTTTGGCTTCCAATTCCACACAGCACATACATTCAGGAAACCTGCTCTTACTACTCTTTTGTTAGAAGTTCTTGTGTGGACAGCTGTCCTCTGTATTAATCTGACTCGATGTACCCAGAGGAGAGCAGTGTTTCAAACTACTTTATCATGTGCGTGCACGAGACACACTCAGCACGAGACATTTTTATTGTGTCAAAATGTGACTGAACATCTAAAGCACTGCAGACACAACAGCTCACTATAAAAAGTAACTAAGTAACAGAATTAAGTTCTGCACTCTTCCATCAAAATACCAGCATGACTGAGGGGCAGAAACATGTGAGGCTCAGTTTTAAACAGGCAGAATGAGGACTCAATGTGTTACAAGACACTGGCATGGTCACTGCTTTGAGACATCACTCTGATAGAGTGTAGACGCATCTATCACAACCACATCAGACACAGTATAACATGTTTTTTTTTAGCACTAAATTTGTTGCAATTTCCATTCAACTGTGTAGTGCAAATCAAATTTACATCATTAATTCAAGCACCCTCCTTCCAACATGTTGCTCTCTGAAAGAGAAACTCTTACATATGCACTAAGCCAGCCAAACCCTTTCAGTCACAACACTGATGCTGTCCTTCTTCAGTAAATTGAATGTTTTGGTTAAGTATGGGTACACTCGAGTGAATTCTGGCAATGCTCATTTTCTTGGCTAGTTATGAATGAATCCATTAAAATGAACCCATGTCCACAGCACTGGTGGTCACCCTTTTTGCTGCTTAAACAGCCCTGACCCTTTTGAGGCATGGACTCCGCTAGAGCCCTGAAGGTGTGCTGTTGTATCTAGCACTGGGATGTTAGCAACAGATCATTTAAGTCCTATTAGGCCTCCATGGATCTGACTTGTTTGTCCAGCACATCCCACAGATGAGAACTGGGGAATTTAGAGGCCACGTCAACACCTCAAACTTGTTGTTGTGCTCCTTGTGAGCTACAGTAGCTGGTCTGTTGGACCACACGGGCCAGCCTTCACTCCCCACGTGCATCAGTGAACCTTAGCGTCCATGACCCTGTTGCTGGTTCACCACTGTTCTTTTTTTGGACCACTTCCTTTATAGATACAAAGCAAATACAAGACCACTGCAGTCTGGGAACACCCTACAAGTGCTGCAGTTTTACTCTGACCCAGTCGTCTAGCCATCACAACTCAAATCCTTATGCTTGCCAATCTTTCCTGCTTCTAACAGATCAACTTTACAGACAAAATGTTCACTTCCTTCCTAATATATATCACCCACTAAAAGGTGCCATGTAGAAGAATTAATCTGTGCTTGTAATGTTATGCCTGTATAGTGAAGCTAATGTAGAAATTGTCTTACAGCTGTTTCTTTGGAAGGGCCACCAGCAAGTGGTTCTTCTGGCTGCAGAAAAAGTCTGATTGCACAGAAGTCTAAAACATCCTTCAACTTCCTGGATAAATGACTCCAGTAAACACTTTCCTGTTGCATTTATGGTCTTGATTGATAAATTTAAGCCATACTGAATACAGTAGGATATTTATTTTATAAATTATGTTTCTCATTAAAGTAATTAAGAAGGATAAAACAGGCTCTGCTTGCACAAGGTGCTATTATTTGAATGTGCAGTGAACCAAGATAATAAAAACAAAAATGTACATCTTGTGCCTTCACGTGGGACTTCCCTAACAAATGGGCAACCAATATGAGTAGCTACATCCATGAAGTACTTAAATATTTACTTTACAGACTACATTAAGGAAACATTAAGCATTCCGATGCTGCTTTAATATAACTTTTAGTCACAAACACTGGGTTAAAAAAACTGAAATAAACACACATTTAAAAAAACAAAAAAACAACTAAAAGTGATAATCACTTTGACGTCTCGCCAGCGTGTCTCTTAGCCTCTGTTTCCATGGTAGCTTTCAGTCGCTCCAGCTCAGCAGTGGTCACTTTCAGCTTCTCAGTGAGAGAGCAAAGTGAAATGTCTTGCTCGGCCACTGTTTGCTCTAGCTCAGCCAGACGCTCCACGTGTTTGGAGGTTGGTACCCTTAAGGTGGGCTTTTTCATCAACTCCTGGACAGAGAGAGAATTAAACAGAAGCCTTATAAGCTCAAAGACTCTTAGAGACATGTTTTTCTCTGCTGGTCTTTCTTTATACAAATACAGCACATCCTTTGTTGATTATCTTTTGTTACGTTGGGAAAATTGGTGTGAAATACATCCAGTTATTTGTGGAAATACACTTCAAGAAATGAATCTGAATGCCTTATCTGGTCTGCAGTGGTCTAATGTTCTTGTGAGCCTTACATCAAAGATCAAAATCTACAAAAACAGAACAAAAAAGTTCTGAAACAAGGGCACCAGTACCATCGCTGTCTGTCTGAAGCGATCCAGCGAGGTGTCCGTGTGCAAGTCCAGCTTCTCGTGCAACATCTTCATCTCCTCCTGATGTCTCTTTATCAGTTCCTCTTGGTCCTGGTATCAACACCATTGAGGACAATTAAACAAATAAATGGTTAAAAAAGAAAACATGTTTAAACTGTTGTGATGGTGCCTTAAATGAAGTAAATAACTGAAATACTTCATGTATAGAGTTAACCAGTGATATTTACCCTGTTTAAGATCTGCGATTTTAATTTTTTCACCTGTTGAAGATTCTATAACACTGCAATTAATCACTAATAAAATCTTACTGACTTGCTAATGATTCTCCTCAGCCCATAGAAAAGAAATCAACATCAGAGACTTGCTGTGCTTAAAATCACTGCACAGCCAATATTTCATCTTATATCACTGTACCTGTCTAGCTTGAGCCAGCTGGTTCTGGTATTTCTTTATTATATCCTCTTTTTTGTCAAGTCGATCCTGCAGGTCTTTGATGGTCTGGTGAGCCAGCTTGAGGGCAGACTGTCTGTCTGACTGCCCCTCTTCATGTTTGGCAAGGTCGGCTAGCAGCCGTTCTCTGTCGGCAGCAGCTGGGAGCCGCAGACGCAGCTCGTTGATTACTTTATCCCTTGACACGATGTTCTGTTCTGCCTTCCACAGAGCTGCTTCCCTCTCTTTCAATTTCTGCATATGTACAAATGAACAAATTAAAACAATAATAAATAAAAAATAATATTGCTATATACTTATAGGGACTGCTGAGTATGTGAACAGGGACAAAATACTGTGCCTTGTCCAAACTTCTGCACGTGGCCTGTGTCTCCAAAATGGTGCGGACATGCTCTCTGATTTTTCCCAAGGTAAACTCTAACTGACGAGCAAGAGGTAGACTTGGGTCTGGTAGCCATCCTTTACCTTCATCAAGCTTACAACAGACAAAAATAGAGTAATTACCTTTGCAATAGCATGTTAAAGAAACTAATTACATGTAAAATTGCACATTAAATAATCAAAAACTGGACTGCCAGTGCTGCCCTCAGCCTCCTAGTAGATACACTTATGGTATCAATTCGAAAATCTTAGGTGACATCTTTCAAGTTATCATGTACACAAGATTTTAAGATAACTTGACCTCTCACCATGAGGTCAAGATCACCAATATTCATCGGAAACGCATGAACTTGTTCTATATCACTTTGCCTCATTCTCGCATGATGGATGTCCACCATGCCCGGTCCATCAGCCTTTTACAGTTGAGGATTAAAAATGGAAAAAGCTGGAAATCCAGCTGATTTTGTTTTCAGTGTTTTCTTTTTTTTTTTAATTAGTTAAACAATGGTTTACCTTTTCTGCATTGCTCAGAATTTCATCCTGATGCTTCTCATAATAGTCCAGCTGACGCTCCATCTCCACCTCTCGCTGATCCCATGCAAGCTGGCATTCTTCGTGAAGCTTTATACAGTAATGAGAAGATATTACTGCATTACCCCGAAGCGCTTATGCACCTAAAACCTCATTAATAAGTTTCCTAAATATGTATTCACAAAAAATCTCCACTCATTGCAGTTTAATCAGCCCACAATCATTTCAATTTCTGTGTAACTCTCATGTGTTGATTGCACAACACTGGACATTATATTTCTTCATTTCCACTTAATACTGTACAGCTGCTGTTATTGTATATATATATATATATTTATATTTCTTCATACATTCTTATATATTTCTATACTGTGTATTTGTGTATTTTGTTGTACAGTTATTTTATTTTCAACTTTAATTTATATATTTCATTTTATTCCTTCCTAGTTAAATTTACCTTTTAATTTTCATATTTATTTCCTATCTTATTCATAGCCTTTTTTTCTCTTTATGTCACGAGCAGTTGTGTAAGCATTTCACTGCATATCGTACTGTGTATGACTGTGTATGTGACAAATAAAATTTGAATTTTATAGTGATTGAAAAATGAGCAAATTTGGGTGTGTGTAAGAATTAATTTTTCGCTCACAGTCTTTTGCTGAACAATATCCTCTTCCAGTGAGTGGATGGTTTGTTCCTGTTCCTTTACAAGGTTCCAGAGATATTTTATCTCCTCCTTCTGGACCACCAGTTCCCTGCCTTTCCTGAGCTCCTGCAGGCGAGTTTCCTCCATCTTTTTGTGCCACTCAGTGACCTGGTTTAAGTCATAGACAGTGTGGTTTTTGGCAACTGTCAAAACAAGACAAGATGTGATCTCAAGAATATTACTCCCCACTAACCTTCTGGGCCCCTTTCACATCCTTTAGGGTTGAGACGAGCTCTTCCAGCCCTTGCAGCTTTAATTCCAGCTCCTCTGCCCTTCCCTCCACTCTCTTGCTCTCCTGCTCTGCCCTCTTTTTCTCCTCTTGAGCTTTTGCTCGGTCCTCCTGGAGGCTCAGCATGGTCAAAGAGAACTTTTCCTGCTGAGGAAGTGGCAACGCACCTGCAAACTGCCTACGGAGCGACTGGATAGTCTGCCGTAGGTGCTTCGAGCGGTTTCTGCCCTCTTGGCGAGCGAGAAACAGAGTACGCTCACTTGCATCGAGCCGCTGTTCAGCTCGCAGCTTGTAGGCCTCCAACTGCTGGATGTGATTGGTGGCAGCCTCAAGTTTTCCCAAAGCATCTGACTCACTGAGCTGCAGAGCCACAATGTGCTGGTGAAGCTTTGCAATGAGGGCCTTCTCGTCTGACTGCGACTGAGTGAAAAACAAAGCATGATTTCTCTTTGATTTTTGTCTCGCAGACATGTGAGAATTTAACAAACCACTGACATTTGTTCCACTTTTTTGTTGAAAGCAAAGATCTGAAAATCTGTACAAATCACCATAAAAAGTTGCAATGATTGATTTCAAAGTATCTCTCACTGTCAAATGGCAACAAACAGAAAGTGCAGTAAAGGACCTGCTTGAGAAAGTTCTTTTATCAACACAGTCATCAGGTTAAACAACGTAAACTCAAGTAAAGAAGCTGAAAGCAAAACCAAGTTACCTGGTAGTCCAATATTTGCCTCCTCAAAGTTTCCACTTCTTTTTCGTTGCTTTTTTGTTTGGCCTGTAGAGCAGACACCTGTGTCACAGCCACATCAGAGACCTCCTGAAGCCTGCCAAAGGGAAAAAAGCATAGAAATTGCAACATAACATGTTTTATGTTTTGTTTTTAAAATAAAATAATGAATCCCTTTAAATACCAACATTACAGCTGCGTATTAGTTTAGGTGTTTTTTAATTTTTGTTAATGATCTGGTATTTTATAGTGAAACACTGTGATCATTGTCTTTAATTATTGATGAATGAATAAATGGTGGTAGTGGTATCAATCAATACTAAACAATCATAAAAAACAAACTTGCTTGTAATATTTTGAACCCCCCTGACAAGGACAAGCTTATCTTTGATAGGATCCTGATGCTTGATCTTGAATACAATGCTGTGACCTCAAAACCTATGCTTCTATAAATCCACCCCCCTCCCCCTCCACACACACACACGGGATGATTGTGATTGCAGTGCTTATCAAAACTTAGAGCACACAATAGAGAGCAAAAAACAAAACAAAAACAAAAATCAATCTAAGGCATAGTCGCTGTCAGACGCACTTAGAAACCTCATTGCGAAGCTCAGCCTCTGCCTTCTCCAGCTCTGCAATCTTGGCTCTGTCTGCATCGCTCGCAGCTTTGCTCACGCTGCTTGCCAGCTCATCTCTCAGCTCCCGCTCAAGCCTTTGGGCCTCCACATTCATCTTAGTCAACTAAAGAGAAACAGAAGTAAGACTTCTTGATAAGAGTCATATAAATTCTTTTTTGAACACCCACAACCTGATAGAGACTGACAAGCGAGATATATCGCAAAGGTTGTGAACTAAAATGTTAAGATAATGAAATAAAAAATTCTTTTTGAGCAGGTTCTGGATAGCATAAAAATGCAAATCCAGTCCAATCAAAATGAATTCACTTCTCTCACTGTAACATTATGTGTCAGGTGAACCAAATAGCCTTTTAGATATGTTAAAAGATGGTCATGGTGATGGCTGGGAAAACAACACATTTCATGTGCCACAGAAAAACATATCTGTCTATTTCCTTGGTCTCATACTTCCACAAACTTGGATTCCAGTTCCACATTGCGCTCCTCCACCTGCTTAAGTGAGTTCTTCACGTGCTCATACATTTTGTGGGCATGCTCAGCTCTCTGCCTCTCATTCAGCTCCTTCATCTCTAAAGTGGTGATTCGTCTTGCAGCAGATATCATCTCATTGTTGAGTGATGCCTTTTCTGCCTTATCCATCTCATTTTCTTCTCCTGATAATAAAATAATAAACAGTGTGGAATGATAATTTAACACACACAATATATTAAATACAAATATAAAGATTATATGCAAAATTTACTTAAATGATGTTAAACTGTGGCATTGTATACAGATAAGGACAAAATTATTAGCCAAAAATTTCCTGAGTGCGTTTTTTAACAGAGCAATCAATCTTCGACATAGAAATTCTTATCATACTAATTTTATTTAGAAAGCACAAGTTACTTCTGTTGGCACACGATAACAGAATGATTTCAGAACAAACAAAAATGACCAAGGTCAAATATTATTAGTTATTTGAAAAACTGACTGCTGTGACTTTGTAGTGCTCAAAGCATGTAAAACCACGTTAAAACTGAGGGTTATCTTCCAGGCAGAAAAACCTCAGGAAGGTTTTGACTAGGCACGTGCAAAAAACAACACTCCCAAAACAAAAACAACCACTTTAAACTTGAGCGTTTACGCGTGTTAAGAACTGGAACGATAACTATTATCAAGAAATTCATGCTGCTGAGTGACTGCTGCTCGTCAAACACATTTCATTGCAATATTGACCCTGTGCTAACTTGCATATGACAAATAAAACTGAAAACTGAAACTGAAATTGAAATTCAAGGAAGAGCCACACGGTGCAGAGTGACCCTGGCAGAGGTACAAAGTGAAAGATTTCAAAGACTCTGGAAAGAAAACTAATGAGAAATGTGCCTGAAGATTCAAAAGAACTGCCAAGACACTAGTGAATGAGTTAGAAAGAGTTAGGAATTGTAGTGTCAAAGAAGACAATCACTAGAACCATGCACAGGAATGAATTGAATGTTGAAGGATGCTATAGGCAACCTGGAGAAAGATTCTGTGTACTTGACGCTCATCAGATGAGATTAAAAACAGACTGTTAAAACATAGTTTGGAAAAAGAATGGAGAAGCATACAACCTAAAGAATACCACAGTAAAACATGGTGGTGAGAGTATTATGCTGTTAAGATGTTTCAGTACGCCTGGAACTGGGAATCTCGTCAAGGTGGAAGGAATCAGGAAGAAGGAAGGATACGTGAAGAATCTGGAGGAAAACTTTAAGCAGCAGCAAAACTGGGTCTAGGTCATCGTTTTGTCTTCTAGCATGACAAACACCCAAAACATGGTCAAGAACTATGTCCAGAAGACCAAAGTGAATGTTATTGAATGGCCTGCACAAAGCCCTGACATAAATCTCTTTGACAAACTGTGGGGTGAACTGAGGATTCGCAAAACTTCAAGCAGTTATCCAGCAAAAATGATACACAACTGTCTACGAGCATTGTTTCATACCAATTTGCTTTCAGATATGAAATTCAAAAATGTGATTGTTATACAATTTACCCACCCCTACACTGTTTATGTTGAAGGTGGGAGTCAGTTTTTAATGTTGCAGCCGGGCCAACACTCACATCATTATATGATGAATTTTACCCAACCTCCTCATTGTTGAGACAGGAATGCAATGACCCCACTAGCTATGGCTCAGATCCAATGAGCACTAAATGTATTCAAGCTGTCTTACAACACTGCATGCAGGACAATACAGTAGATGAAAGCTCAGGAAGAAAGCAGTAGACATAAATAACTGTAATTTTTGGCCCTGTGGGAAGCCTGTGCCCTTGGTTTATTCCAGCGGTTTTACCACAGCCCAGTAAATGTTTTCATGGCGGGAACTTCAGCTTGTAAAAGCCTTCATAGACTGTGATACCTTGTTGTGAATCCAAAAATGCTGGAACATCTTTTATTCTAACTTCAAAATATTTATAGTGAACTACAAGATGTTCCCTTAAACCTCTTTATGGACAAAAATAGGATCAAATTTATAAAAACTGAGGTTGAACCAAAATTCTTTCAGACCAATTTATTTCAGATATGCAGTTCAGATGTGATTCTTGATTCTTCTACCCACCCCACCCACCATTGTTTTTGTTGAAGGTGGGAATCAGTTTTTAATGTTGTACTTGTGGCCAACACTCACATCATTATATGATGAATTTTGTTACAAACAAAACTGTTTGTAATGATCAATATCCTTAGTTTACCTGTTGAAGGGATGTTCTCCCATCTTTGCTCTAAAGTATTAAGTTTCTCCTTCGTGATCTCCAGTTCTTTATTCATGGCAGAGATTTGTTCTCGGAGAGACTCATTCTCACTCTGAGAGGAAGGGAAAAAAAGATTAATAAAGTGTTATCATTAGTCAAGAACACAACATGAGATTTGGGACAAACCTGGTCAGGAAATGTTTTTTTTAATACCTCCAAATGTTCTAAGTTGGTGGTTCTTTGTATGAGGTGGCTGTCTCTCTGTAGCATGTTTCTGTATTTGACTGTTAGCTCTGTGTACTGTTTGTTAGCCTTCTCCAGGTCTGATGAGGGCACACTATCATCCAAAGCTTTCTGTAGTGCTGCTATTTTATATGCAGCCATTTCCTAAAGACCAAATAAAAGGCAATGACGTTAGAAAGGTGCTGAATGAACATACAGTAGTGCTAAAAACACAACTTTTTGCTACACTCTCTCTGATAGAAATGTTCACAATATTTCATAAATTATTTTCTGTTATTTAAAGAAAACTTTGAGTGAGAAACTTTTATGTAAAATGTTTTATATAGTCTCACCTAGTTGCGATAAAAGACAATAGATAAGAATTGGTTTCCCCCCCAAGGCTTTTGGTGGGATTTAGCTTCTTGGTACCTTGTATCTCTGAAGGTAACCTATCCTCTGAGTGACCGAAACCTGCATCTGGCTGCTCTCATCTCTTAGCTTGCCGTTTTCCTTGCGGAGGTGCTGTTCTTGTTCCAGCAGGGTTGTGTAGCGTCGCGCCAGTTTCTTCTCATTAACTTTGAGCACTGTCAGCTTACGAATTGCTTCACTCAGCTGTCTTCTGATGTCCTCTGGATCCTTCTGAAGTGTGTCCAGCAGATCCTGATAGATAAGGTGAATAATTGCTCTTAATTTCATTTCATTTCATTCATTCATTTCATTTATTTGTTCATTTCCAGGCACAACAAATACCTATATTGAACATAAATGCACAAAACAAATAAAACTGACACCAGAAGGAAAAAGAAGCACAGCAAAATTCTACCCTGATATTTTATATTTGTACATCTCAAATTTGTAAAAATGTCAAAACATAGTTATTTAATCACTTAAGAGCTGCTGGTCGACTTGCTGATATTGCACACTACACACCAGAACAAGTTGTCTGTTCCCCTAATGTGCATTTTATGTTTATTGAGTTAAAGGAAAATATTCCAGTAATTTGTCTGAGACACATTTAGTTCCATGTTGTCAGCCTTTAACAGTGAATCATCGTAAACCATATGTCTATGTGAGTGAATGAGAGCCACATTGAAAGTGTTTGCAAAATAAACACAGTGCATCTTGTAGCATTTAAGTATTATTAACCTTTTAAAGCTGACTTACACTGAACTCTTTGATTTTAACGTCATCCACCTGCTTTTGTTTGTCCAGCCTGTTCTTCATCTCTGTGAATGTCTCCTTCTCCTTCTGCCACTTTGCCTTCTCACTGAGAAAAACACAGGAAAATATTTGAGATTCTTACATGTAAATAAATCACCCACAATGCGCAAAACCTTTCATGATAACCCACCTCAGGTACTCTTTGTAGAGAAGTCCCTGTTGATGGCTAATAACAGAAAACTTCTCCTTGTATTCTTCCAGAGCACCTGCAAGTTTCTGCATTTTTTCCTCCTTGTTTTTGAGCTCCTAAATAATTATGATCAATTTATTTAGATTTTACTTGAAACAATTAGTTTATAGTTCTTCCCAATCTTATTATTGGAAGACAGCGACACTAACCTGAAGGAGTCGAACGGCGTACTCATTCAGGGAACTGATGACTTCAGTGCTGCTGGGCTCCAGGCCCTCGGGAAGGGTCAGAGGTCTGAGGACGACTCCATTACTGCCAGACTTCCTGAGCAACTCCAACTCACTTTCAAGTTGGCATATCTAACAGGCACAGATAATTTAAAAAAAATCACAAGCAAAACCTGGCTATTAAACGTTGTGTTGTTTATCAAAAAGTTCCTGCATTTGTCTCTAGATTCAAAGTATTATTTAGCACAGTTTGGGACAATACGGCATGGATTGCTTGATTACTGAATGTGAGGAGGCCATTGTAATGTACCACAAACATAAGGTAACAAAACATTATTGAGACTAAAGGCAGTAATACATAGATGATTAAAATAACACTACACTACTTGTGAAAAAAATTATCAGACAAAGGAATAAATAATGAAAAAGAATAATCAACAAAAAGAGAAAATCTTATTGGAAAATAAAACTGGAGAAATGGCAGAGGAGTTCTGTAAAGGAGGCTTCCCCATTTTAAACAAAATTGTTACTGTCTGTGTTCTGGATAATGTGGCTTTTGTTAAGTGTTATTTGTAAGAAAGTTTTATCATTTTGAAAATTGAAACTGAATGCATGCCGAACAGTTGAGACAGAAGTTTGTTTACCTCGTTTCTTTCATTATATGAAACAGAAGTAGCAGATATCAAAAACAGGCGACTGACCAGACCAAAAAAAAAGGAAAGAAATATCTTCTAGACATGTTAATGACTCTCCGCCATGGAGCCCATGCCAGGCATGCAGCTATCTTCATAAATCTTTATATTTCAGTGGTTACAAACTTTTACATAAGAAAATAATTTTTTTTGATTTGGAGAAGAAACACGCAACCATTACCACTGGGATTTGGGCTTCCATAACTAGAGTTTAATACATGCTTGGCTTTGAGAAAGTTGAGAAATCATACCGCTTTGTTTTCTTGCCAAAGACAGAAATATGGCCAAATAAAGCTGCCAGTCCACCACATTATTAATTTGTGTAATTAACTTAAATCATATTAATCTACCTTTTCTTTGGCTCTGGCAAGCTGACTCAAGCTGTCGGTTGCCTCCTCACGAGCTGATTTTAGCTCCTGCCTCAGTTCTTCATTTCTCCCCACCAGCTGGTGTATTTGGGACCTGAAGTGTGGGGCTGACTCAGACTGGCCACCCATGCCACTGACATCTAAAGCCTGTAAGAGAATGAGTAAAGTTTACTGCCACCCCCCAAAAAAAACAGCTATTCTCAAATCCTCGATGCAACAGTTGTAGAGGATAAAAATACATTTATGCCACTATCCAAGATTGATTTTCATGTGTTTGGTGTGTGCTAGCATCTGCTACTTCCTTGCTGATTGGTATGTTGCATGGCTTTCTTGCCTTTTTCTTTGAAGCTAACCACATTTGTTTATCAGGTTGCTATGAGGCAAACCCTGTGTTTCATCAAATGACAAGGTCAACGGTAAAATGCAGACGAGTGACAAAGTCCATTGTTTTCAGCTTATCTACGTGTAAAGGCATGATGTAAAGTGAGCCCGTGTGAAACACGTTGAAAAACACTATCTATTAATCAAATGTCGTCTTAAACTAAGCACTGTTTCACATCAGTTTTCATGCATACTTACATTGGCCAACCTTTCCAGATTAGGAACAGAAACAGCCTCTTGATTAATCCTCATTGCTTGAAGGACATCTTTCAGAGCAGCCTCCAGATCTTTTTTCACCTTTGAAAGTTCTTCCACTAAGAGTTCATGCACAGGAATGAATAACAATGGGGAAGCAGTACCCCAGAGATAAATCATTCAGATAAAAATGTTTTAAATACACTATATTGCCAAAAGTAATCGCTTGTCTGCCTTCACACACACACACACACACACACACACACACACACACACACACACACACACACACACACACACGAACACACGAACACACGAACACACGAACTTGAGTGGGATCTCATTCTTAATCCAAAGGGTTTAATGTGATGTCTTTGCAGCTGTAAGAGCTTCAACTCGTCTGGGAAGGCTTTCCGTAAGGTTTAGGAGTGTGTATGGGAATTTTTTTACCATTCTTTCAGAAGCTTCCCCTTTAATTCATCCCAAAGATGTTCTGTCAGGTTAATGTCAGGACTCTGTGCAGGCCAGTCAAGTTCTTCCACACCAAACTTGTTCTTCTATGTCTTTACAGACCTTGACTGTGTACACTGGTACACAGTCAAGTTGGAACAGGAAGGGCCCGTCCCCAGACTCTTCCCACAAGACTGCATGGGTGCATGAAATTGTCCAAAATGTCTTGCTGAAGCATTGAGAGTTTTTTTTTCACTGGAGCAAAGGGGCTGAGCCCAACTCCTGAAAAACAACCCCACACCATAATCCCCTCTCCACCAGATTTGAAACTTGACATTTGACACAATGCAGTCAGACAAGTACTGTTCTCCTGGCAACCGCCAAACCTAGACTCATACATCAGATTATGGATTGCCAATCACAATCTGCCAATTGTATCACGGTCCCACACTAAAATTCACTGAGCTCCAGAGAGCGAGCCATTCTTTCATGAACATATGTAAAAGCAGTCTTTATGCCTAAGAGTGATTGGAACACCTGAATTCAATCTTTTGGATGGGTGAGTGAATACTTTTGGCAATACAGTATATATTGCATTGATCATCGTCTCATTACATAATGTACAGATGCTACAGTGACTCAAGTGTAAAAACATCTGTGTGAACTTTAAGTGGAAGTCAGAGCAGGACTACACTTACATTTGACCTGAAACTGGGTCCGGTGAAGTTCCAGCTCTCGCTCCTTTTTGCTTAACTCTTTTTCAAGGTACTCATTCTGAAATGCAGTGTTAACGTAACGTTTCAAATTAAAAACCCTGAAAACTTTGACATAACCCTTTCCCATGGTATTCCATGGGAAGCAATATGCAACAAAGGGTGCATTCTTCACTGAATAATATGAAATAAAATTATAATTCTCACTTAGTTTGTTTGATGAGAATGTTTCTTTTTTAATATAGGGCACTAAGTCAGGTGGCAAGAGGTGATGTCACTACTGAGAGTCTTACTTTGCGCCTGGTTTCTTCATCTGTGTACATGCCACTCTGATTGAGCGACAGCTGTGCCGCCCTGCTCGGTCTAACATCTTCCTCCAGCAGTAAGCTTGACTGTGGAATCCCTGTAGACACAGCTGATTAAGAGCAACATTTTTTTAAAATGCATGTCTGAAACAAAACTCAAAATTCAAGAGAAGTCAGGAGAAAAATAGCTAAATGTCTTCCTTTTGTACAAGCTAAACCAATAGATTTGGTTCAAACAAATACATTTTAGGTGGAAAAACCCTGCAAGGAAAAGATATCATCGGGCCAATGTGTTCATATGTCCCTTCCATTAAAACTGACAGCAAGTGTCACAAAAGGATGAAAATGAGTTTGGTCTGACCGGGAACCTTAAAGGAGTGTTGTAGGTTTCATGTCTGTGTATATAATAGGGGACAACTGGATTTGAGAGACATAAATTTCACATTAACATAGTGGACAAGGCTCCTTACTGAGGCCTATGTGCCTGTTTGTGGAGACATTACACCAGGAGTCGGCAACCCTGGGCACGTGCGCCAGCTGGGTTAACTGATGGCACGGCGCACAACGCACAGCTAATTAATCTGAGAAGGTGCATTAAAAAATTATTGGCCAGGCCAGTGGTGCACATCGCAAATGAGCTCGCATAGTTGTGCCAATTCTTAATGACGGTATCTTAGCTAACAACCCCAACTACCAGATTCAACTTATAGTTGGCTAAAAATAACAGGGATGTGGCTAGCTGGCAGTTTTTTCAAGCGATGTTGAAATTTCCACATTCCAACACTTCAAATTTCCTTCGGGATTAATAAAGTATTCTGATTCTGATTCTGAAATGCTTCAGGAGCTGTCCGCTCAGAGCAGCATCAGCACCGCAGAAATACACCAATACAGCCGTAGACTCAAGACAGAATTCACAATGCGTTTTCAGGACTTTCAGGTGTATGGACCAATGTTTTCTTTTCTGATCAAACCAGAAAGCTTTAATGAGCAGCTAGATTTGTCTCGCATTAACTGGCTGGACAGAGGACATAGAAATACAGCTGATTGAACTGAAAAGCTCGACTCTGTGGGGATCAAAGTTTGCAGAACTACAAACGCAGCTGGAATCCACAGCTGTGCGTGTTCATGGAGCTTATATTTTCACCTGCTGGACATCACTACCTGACAAATTTAACTGTCTTCAGAACATTGCAGAGGCCTTATTGAGAGTACTTGGCTCTACATATCTGTGTGAACAGATTTTCTCTCACATGAGTGTCCTCAGGTAGCCGTCTGAATGCTGGACACACAGAGACCTGTGTCTCTGAGTGGGAGACGAGAGATCACATTAACATGTGTATCCCTGTATTAACAAACACACATTTTCTGTTGTACAGTTCATTTGCTGTTATGGAGTTCTTGTTATGGATAAAAAGTGTCTTTTTTTTGTTTCAAAATAGCTGATAACTATTCACTGATAGCTGCCAACATCTGCGAACAAATATAATTCTATAAAGTGGTTCTATATAGTGTGTAACTGTTCATATAGAGCATTATTACATTTATTGCTAATGCAATCATATGGCACACTGACTTCTGATAAAATTTTAGATGGCACTCATCATCAGAAAGGTTGCCGACCCCTGCCTTACACGATAGATGTGGTGAACCAACTACACATGAGCTTTTCAGAATGGGTGAAAAGAGTTGCTGATATACAAATATACTTTTTAAAGGAACAATCTGTGGAATTAAACCGAGTGATTTTAATGTCACCTCTTTCCTTCACCATGCGTCTGATTTGTTTCTTTAATTCCAGTCTTTCCTCTTCAAGTCGTTCAATCTAGAAAATAATCAGGGTGTTAGTAGAAGACGCTCATGAGCAAAATTACATATAAAAATATTGGCTTTAACCAGTATAATTCCCATTATACCTCTTTGGTGAGCACTTGGTTTTCTGCTTTGTACCGGCGCTGTCTGAGATCTGTGGCACGCCTAAACTCTGTCAGATCCACTTCCTGCTTTGGTTCCAGACCTTCGGAGTCAAGATCAGTATAAACAAAAGCTAAATTAATTTTATAGTTCCACGTCAGTGAGTGTTGTCTAAATATACTGAGCAATGTGACCATTCAAGTAAAAAAAAAAACAAAAAACAAAAAAACATCTGACCTAGTTTTTCTCTAAAACCTTCGTTTTCGTCCATGAGGTCATTGATTCTCATCTCAAGCTGGTTGATCTCTTTGGTCATGGCCTCTGCCTCACATTCTCTCTCTCTAATTAGATTTTTACACTCTTTGATCTCTGCAATGGCTGCTTCCAGGCCATAAGTGCCCTGTAAAACAGAAACCAAGTTGTTGTTCAAAGTGTTTCATTCACCAAAAAGCAAGTCTTGTCTAAATGTCTTTTTTCCTTGTTTTTAACTCATATGCTTTTTGTGGAAATCAGGATGTGATTTGGCATGGTGAAAAACAAACACCATGTTTGTAGACCAAAAAAAGCACGTGGATCACACCATAGTCACATTGTCATTTCAATGTCTCTATTAAAAGTGAGGATGGATGGGGAAAGGAAAAAAAAATCACATGCATCAATTCCTGGAAATTAAGTCACAAATAATTTAATTTGGCTGCAAACATTTTACTGAAAGCCAAAATAAAACAGAAAAAAATGAGGAACAAAAAAAATGTTTGCAGACTTACAGACTCATATTGGCTCAAGCGGTTTGAAGCCTCAATAACTGCTTTGTCTTTTTCCTCAGCATGAGCTTCTGCTAGTTTTACCGCATGCTCTGCTTCCGTTGCTCTTGTCTCTGCAGCTTCTAGCTTTAACTTCAGCCCCTCCATTTTCTTCTGCTGTAAGGTAGGTGGGAGGCCTTCAAGAACAAATGACAAATGTAATTGTAATTATGCATATATGTGTGTGTGTGTGTGTGTGTGTGTGTGTGTGTGTGTGTGTGTGTGTGTGTGTGTGTGTGTGTGTGTGGATAGATAGACAGACAGATATATGAGGCAAAATTCTTTTACAAAAAGCTAAAACTACCAGGGTCAAAATGATGAACCCAATCACCAGGGTTTTTTTTGCTGAATAAAAAGCCTTTTAACAACAGTCTCGCACATGTTTCCTGAGCAATTTCAGCCCATTGTTCTTTGGCAAATCTTTCAAGTTCCTCCAGATTTGATGGTTTTCTGGCAGAAATTTTGTCTTCAGTTTACAATGCACATTTTCAAAGGGATTCAAGTCAGGGCTTTCTGGAAGCCATACAGTAAAGTTCACTTTGGATTTCTGGATGCTACTACGTGCTGGGATCATGATGTGCTGGAAGACAAAACGACAAGCCAGATGCACCCTATATGGCACTGTGATTTTCTTTTGATTTTACACTTTTCCCTTCTTCCTCCAAACATAAACAACATCTCTGAGGCCAAAGAGCTCTAGTTTCGTCTCAAAGGCCGAGTTTCCAGTGTGCATAATCTTTCTCCAGGCTGACTGCAACCTAGGAGTTCACTCCTGTGCAAGGTTCTAGTGACTGTCTTCTTTGAGACTACAATTCGCACTTTTTTTTTAAGTCGTTCACTTACAGTGGGGCAAAAAAGTATTTAGTCAGCCACCGATTGTGCAAGTTCCCCCACTTAAAATGATGACAGAGGTCAGTAATTTGCACCAGAGGTACACTTCAACTGTGAGAGACAGAATGTGAAAAAAAAAATCCATGAATCCACATGGTAGGATTTGTAAAGAATTTATTCGTAAATTAGGGTGGAAAATAAGTATTTGGTCACCTCAAACAAGGAAAATCTCTGGCTCTCACAGACCTGTAACATCTTCTGAAGCTTTTCTGTCCCCCACTCGTTACCTGTATGAATGGCACCTGTTTGAACTCATCATCTGTATAAAAGACACCTGTCCACAGCCTCAAACAGTCAGACTCCAAACTCCGCCATGGCCAAGACCAAAGAGCTTTCGAAGGACACCAGGAAAAGTATTGTAGACCTGCACCAGACTGGGAAGAGTGAATCTACAATAGGCAAGCAGCTTGGTGTGAAAAAATCAACTGTGGGAGCAATCACCAGAAAATGGAAGACATACAAGACCACTGATAATCTCCCTCGATCTGGGGCTCCACGCAAGATCTCATCCCGTGGGGTCAAAATGATCATGAGAACGGTGAGCAAAGATCCCAGAACCACACGGGGGGACCTGGTGAATGACCTGCAGAGAGCTGGGACCAAAGTAACAAAGGTCACCATCAGTAACACACTACAACGGCAGGGAATCAAATCCCGCAGTGCCAGACGTGTTCCGCTGCTGAAGCCAGTGCATGTCCAGGCCCGTCTGAAGTTTGCCAGAGAGCACATGGATGATACAGCAGAGGATTGGGAGAATGTCATGTGGTCAGATGAAACCAAAGTAGAACTTTTTGGTATAAACTCAACTTGTCGTGTTTGGAGGAAGAAGAATACTGAGTTGCATCCCAAGAACACCATACCTACTGTGAAGCATGGGGGTGGAAACATCATGCTATGGGGCTGTTTTTCTGCCAAGGGGACAGGACGACTGATCCGTGTTAAGGACAGAATGAATGGGGCCATGTATCGTGAGATTTTGAGCCAAAACCTCCTTCCATCAGTGAGAACTTTGAAGATGAAACGAGGCTGGGTCTTCCAACATGACAATGATCCAAAACACACCGCCCGGGCAACAAAGGAGTGGCTCCGTAAGAAGCATTTGAAAGTCCTGGAGTGGCCTAGCCAGTCTCCAGACCTCAACCCCATAGAAAATCTGTGGTGGGAGTTGAAAGTCCGTGTTGCTCGGTGACAGCCCCAAAACATCACTGCTCTCGAAGATCTGCATGGAGGAATGGGCCAAAATACCAGCTACTGTGTGTGCAAACCTGGTAAAGACCTATAGTAAACGTTTGACCTCTGTTATTGCCAACAAAGGTTATGTTACAAAGTATTGAGTTGTATTTTTGTTATTGACCAAATACTTATTTTCCACCCTGATTTACGAATAAATTCTTTACAAATCCTACCATGTGGATTCATGGATTTTTTTTTTTTCACATTCTGTCTCTCACAGTTGAAGTGTACCTCTGGTGCAAATTACTGACCTCTGTCATCATTTTAGGTGGGGGAACTTGCACAATCGGTGGCTGACTAAATACTTTTTTGCCCCACTGTATGTCTGAGCACATTTCTCACTAGTTTTCTTTCTTTGAAATTTTTCACTTCCAGGCTTTGTGGCAACTCCTTGGAATTCTTGATGATTACTCCAGTTCTTGATACTTGGAAACACTGATGATGACACTCAGTTTTAACTCGATGTTACAAGCTTTGAGCATAAGCTTTAAGCTCTTCATTGCACATCAGTGGTTTGTGGTTTCTCCTATGTCTCATTAAAAGGTCAGTTTTTTGGGGGCTAATAACACTGACACTGGTAACAAAAAAAAAAATCCAAAAAGCTAATATGCTAAGAAATGTTATGTCCAAAATCCCTTGCTCTGTTTAAAGAAAAAAAAAACACTTGGGAAAAATCTGACTCACATTAAAATACATAAACTGCTCAGTGGCACCTGCAAGTTCTGAGCCATTTACCTTCTTAGGCATGCAACCATGTTTTATCAGTTCTAATTTAAACAGTTTAAATTTTAGTTTAATCATGAATCTCAAAAATGTAACAAACAAACAAACCCAAAACCAAAACATCTATCTCAAAAATTCAGATATATTCAGAACATATATCTTTTATGATGATTATATTTTGATGTTTGGTATTTTTTTAAGGTTAACTTAACCTGTTGGTCTACAGTTTGCTCTTTTTGGGCATTCCCCGTAACTACAAATGTCTGCAATCAACAACTGTCAGAAGAGAGGCTAATGAACAACATTTGATAAATTAAACAGGGATGTATAAACCTCTGTCTTTCTTCGTAGATGTCTTTAGCTCCTCAATAAGTAGGGTGTGCCTCTCCATTTCCCCTGTATACTGCTCCACCTGCTCACTCAGCATCTTGATCTGATTATCACGCTCTTGGACAGCCTTTAGGATATTCACCACAAAATCAAAACACAACACAACACAAAACACAGAATTATCAGGATTTCAATGTTAGACACATTTTGCACAGCTGTGGCACACATAAATATTTACACATTCATTGTTGGAGAACGTTATGGACCGAAAACAACGGGAGGTTACAAGATAAGAGGCCCACGATGGATGAAACTTACAGCGCAGAGCTCATATATGACCTGACCCAGGGCAGCAAGAGACATGGAAGGAAGGATAGATTTATATGTAAAGACAGGGCAAAGAGAGAGAACCAAAAGAAGAAACATGACATACACATAGATACAGATAGGTGGAAAACAAGATATGACTATAACCTCCAAATTAGGATGCCCCTGTTCCAAAGAATAAAAATAAACGTATAAACAATGACC